GCAATAATAATAATTTTATGGTTGGGGGTCACCACAACGTGAGGCACTGTATTAAGGGGTCGCGGCATTACGGAGGTTGAGAACCACTGATCTACAGGTTAAATAGCTTGCCATCTGTCCGATAGATGATTTCCACGGTGGTGACTGGGGCCTTGAAAAGAAGACTCTTGTTTGAAGAAGGGATGGTGGGGATCTAGGTTGCACTGTAACTCTCAGCAGGTCTAGACAGCATAGCTAATAAAGAATAACGTGGGGAAGTGTTGTCCGACCAAGACTGTATACTTCCTCCACCTGGCTGGGGGAATGCTGCCACATCTTGTAGATTCCTACTCGTGCCTTCAAGAAGGGCAGAACCTTTATTAAAAACATCTTGTTTCCAAGATGTTTAAGGTTCACAAAAGGGGGAGTGCTCTATTCTTTCTTTTTTTTCTTCCAAAGTCTGTCTGTGAGTAATAACCGACCAGAGTCCTTCCTGTCTTGGCACCACCCCTATGAATGTTTTGGGGAGGAGAAGACCAAGCGGGAGATGAAGGAAAGGTTTGTCCTTTCTTCAACTCGGGCTCCCACCATTTTAAAAAATGCTTTCCCAGACTGCCTGGGATCCTTTCTCTGTGTGCAGAGTTCAGTGAATCAGTTTAACAGGCTAGTCTGAACAGTAGTGCAGCCTGTGTCGTGTCGCTGTAGGCAATTTGTTCCAGCGTGCCTGTGTCTGTGTGTGCTTTTCCAAAGTAAGCCACTCATCTGTGTGGAGGCTGCTGTTCAGAGAACATTGAAAGGCATTGTTTCCTGGCAAAACTGAGAAGACAGGTGTAGTATTCGTGGAGAATTGGTTCCCAGCGACCACCTTTTGTGTTGTCCTGTCTGCTTGCTCCACCACACTTCAGGAAAGCAGCGAGCCCGCTGGAAGGCAATTGCTCTGGCGAGCGCAAAAGAGAGACAGCATGCCCTGCTTCTGCCCGGAACATGCAAGGACCTCTTGCCTAAACTATGCTAACCGAGAAATCCATCAGAGAGAGGCCGGGGGAATTCTCTCTTGAGAATTGGAAGGTAAGATCTACATCTTAAATGATGGGTATTTGGGGGCTTTTTCTGTCTCACCTTGCATCTAATTCAATTAAATCAGATCTTTGTATTTTGATCCCTTTAAAAATTTTCTTGAGTCGTGTAATGTGATTTCAGGAATTGAGTTCAGAAGGAATGCATTACCTCCATGGGGAAGGGGCCCTTCCAGGTGCACCAAAGTTCCTGCACTGCATGGCATCCATTCTCTTCGGCAGGGAGACACAGGGAGTGCCCCATGGCATTCCTTGACTGTGGCGGCTACTTTTGATCTTTGCTCACTGTAATCTTTTGCTTCTCAGTAAATTGCCTGCCTTTGTTTGACTTGAAAGGTTCTTTTCTTTCACTCTGAAAAGTTACTTCACTTTTGTGTTGTCGAAGGCTTTCATAGCCGGAATCACTGGGTTTGCTGTGAGTTTTCTGGGCTGTATGGCCAGGTTCCAGAAGCATTCTCTCCTGACGTTTCACCCACATCTATGATCGGCATTACCAGAGGTTGTGAGGTCTGTTGGAAACTAGGGGGGGGGGGGGGGGGGGGGGGGGGGGGGGGGGGGGGGGGGGGGGGGGGGGGGCTTGAGGGGCTTCAGCCCCCCCCCCCGAAATTCTCATGGTGGTTCGCGAAAAGGCCTTACTGGTGCATTATTTAAACTGTTATGTTTATTCATATCATGATCTGATCACCATACTCAATATATCCCATATGCATGGGGGTATTGGGGTAATGATACAAAAGGTTTGCTAGGGTAGACCCTCTTTCACTCAGACTCAGCCCCCCCCCCCGCCACTGCCACCACTACCCCTGAAAAAAAATCACACCCCCCCCCCCCCGAACCGAAATCCTGGCTACGGGCCTGTCCAGGGCGGGAGAAAGAACTCTTGTCTGTTAATTTGCAATTAGCATTGAATGGCCATGCAGGTACATAGCCTGGTTGTTGCTGCCTTGGGGCATCCTTTGTTTGGGATATGTTAACTGGCACTAGATTGTTGGCTGTCTGGAGCTCTCCAATTTCTGAGCAGTGTTATTTATTTACTGTCTTGATTCTGGTGTTTTTAAATACTGGTAACCAGATTTTGTTCATTTTCAAGGTTTCCTCCTTTCTGTTGAAATTGTCCACATGCTTGTGGATTCTCTGTGTAGTCTGACATGGTGGTGAACATAGCCATACAGCCCGGAAAACTCACAGCAACCCAGTACTTCACTTTTTATTGTCGAAGGCTTTCATGGCCGGAATCATTGGGTTGTTGTAGGTTTTTTTCGGGCTATATGGCTATGTTCTAGAGGCATTTTCTCCTGATATTTCCCCTCCATCTATGGCAAGCATCTATCCAGAACAGGCCCGTAGCCAGGATTTTGATTCGGGGGGAGCTGAGTTTGATTCGGGGGGTGGGGCTGAGTCTAAGTGAAAGAGGGTCTACCCTAGCAAACCTTTTGTATCGTTACCCCTATACTCCCATGCATATGGGAAATATTGAGTATGGTGATCAGATCATGATATGAATAAACATAACAGTTTAAATAATGTACCTGTAAGGCCTTCTCGCAGACCACCATGAGAATTTGGGGGGGGGGGCTGAAGCCCCTCAAAGCCCCCCCCCCCCCGCTACAGGCCTGGGTAGTGAGGACTTCACTACCTCTAAGGATACTTGCCATAGATGTAGGCGAAATGTCAGGAGAGAATGCCTCTAGAACATGGCCATATAGCCCGAAAAAAACTGCAACAACCCCGCTTTGAGTCGCCTAAGGGCTGAGAAAAGCGGTATAGAAATAAAGTAATTAAATAAATAAATAAATAATACTTCACTTTTGTTTAATGTTTTCTCTCCTTGGATAGCAAAACATATTTCTGGCAATCAAGTGTTTAATTGGTGAGACGACTTTCATGCCAGCCTATGGAATAAATGGATAAATCTGTCTATAGAACAAAATGGGCTTTCTGATGTTGTTTGCCTGTCTCCTATAGTTCACCAATACCTGGTTTTGCAGTTAAGAGTACCGACTTCTTCATGTGGGGAATCTTTCCGTTTAAGCAATGTTTCCTCCATGAACTGGTTTGAAAGAAACAGGATCTTTTCTATTACGTCATATTTCTTCTTGTTGCATAATACAAAGCCAGACATTCCTAGAACTTGTTCATATGTGATGACCAAACTGGGAAAATACAAACATGAGCGGTTCACATTCTTCAGGGAAGTACACACTGAAAGAACACACGAGAAAACCACGGGGCCATGTGAACCAACTGCTACTAAGGGTAGTAGATAAGGAAGGAGCTTGTTTTCAAAATGCTTCACTGACATGCCTTTTGGGTGACTTAACTTTACATTCTCCAGGATTGCAAAACAACAATGAGCTCTGTGAGCAACTATTTTTTCTCAGGAAGTATTTTAGAAGCAGCATTTTAAGTATGAATTCTTTAATTTAAAATATTTCTGCACATTATAATTGCTAGAGATAGGAGATACCATTCTGGGCATACTGCCATTCTTTCAAGAACTCTGTGAAGAATTGAAATTTTGTGTCCTATATTTATTTGTATTGTTATTTTAGGCTACGCATGCTTGTTTTGCACCAGATTAGCATTCCAAAATTTCAGTTATGATGATAATAAACAAAAGAGAGTGTTGGAACAGTAACTTTAATAACTGGTTAGAACAGTGGTTTCCAACCTTATTTTGACCAGGGACCACTCTCCAACATTAGTACCAAAAAGGTTGTGAATTTGTTTTTGGTCAACTTTAGATTCAGTTTGGTTATTTGGGATGCTGATTCAGAAAATTGCATTGGATAGACCACATTAGCTCTAGTTTCTGATACAGAACATATGCCATGGTCAATGACAGGGAAAGAGTGGCAGGCGACGTGAAAGGAGTGGAAATAAATAAAATAAAGAGGAAGGAGGCTTGTGGACCAGATTTTCATCCTCGTGGCCCACTGGTGTTCCGTGGCCCACAGGTTAGCTGTCTAAGCTCTGCAATTTATTCCTAACTAGCGTAGGACTAAATATAATTGAAAGCAACAAAGCCCATCTTGGACTTAATCGTACTGATAAAAGAGGTATTTGGTTTGGGCCACATATGCCTTTTCTTTCTCAGTAATGCATAAATTGACTCTGTTCACCCAAGCTATAAAACGGAAAGACTTGACAGGGATCTAAAAATCCTGGTTTTTTATATTGAAGAATAGAATTTAACTCAAATAAGCCCCTGGTGGTGCAGCGAGTTAAACCACTGAGCTGCAGAACTTGCTGACCGAAAGGTTGTGGTTCAGATCTGGGAGTGGGGTGAGCTCATGCTGTTAGCCCCAGCTTCTGCCAACCTATCAGTTCGAAAACATGCAAATGTGAGTAGATCAGTAGGTACCGCGTTGGCTGACATTATAGCCATATTAGGAAGGTCCTGGTGCATATTCTCATTTCCCCAGCCATATTTTCTGATGAGATTCTTGTTGAGCATGGAGGGTAGGTGCTCATGCAATCAGGCATGTAGCTGGGGGGGGGGGGGGGGGGCTTGGGGCTGCCAGGTGGCGCATGGCTACGGCGACCCCTCTGACACCCCTACTCACCCCCCCCCGAACCACTTGCCCTCGCCTAGAACACAACGAGACACGAACAAACACTACAACTAACAAAACAGCACAAACGGGCTGAAGCCCCCCCCCCCGAAATTCTCATGGTGGTTCGCGTAAAAACCTTACTGGTGCATTATTTAAACTGTTATGTTTATTCATATCATGATCGGATCACCATACTCAATATATCCCATATGCATGGGGTATTGGGGTAACGATACAAAAGGTTTGCTAGGGTAGACCCTCTTTCACTCAGACTCAGCCCCCCCCGAAACTCAGCCCCCCCCCCCCGAATCGAAATCCTGGCTACGGGCCTGGATGCAACCCTCTTGCAGGCACAAAGTAGTGTAAAGTCCACCTCCTGGTGCTTCCCACCATAACCTCTGCTGAAAATAGGAATTCCTTCAAGCCTATAGTAGTTTTTTTGTTATATATATAATTCAGATTGCTTACTGTATTGTATATGTGTGTGTTGGTATGCAGTTTTCCTTAATTCTATGTTGTGGGAGGGACTGCAGACCATGTGATCAGATCTGGGCTTGTTCAGGACTCAGGCTCAATTTTAGAAACAGTATGCTTTCAGAAGCCATTAGACTTTCAATGTAGAAACAGTACAGTTTAGAAGTAAGTAGAAACAGTATGCTTTTAGAAGACAGTAGAAACGGAATGCTTTAGAGAACTGACTCCATTGGACTTTTAGACTCTATTAGACTTTCAGATCAGAGAAATGCTTTCATTTATGGACTGTTGATTATAAAAAAGATGCCCTGTGTTATCTGCACAGAGAAACTACTTCAAATCCTATAGGTAACTGGATTGATATATAATGCACCTGTATGCTGCATACATGAAGTTTGTGAGTAAACCAACTACAGAGTGGGGCAGCATAAGTTCCTTTTTTCAAATGTGCGCCATTCAGTCGGTTGAAGATGTAGCGGAGCGCTAATGGTCTCGTTTGAGAGGCGGGAGTATAAAGTTTTGTCCTGACACAGTTCAGTCGCCATCATGCGTTGGAACAGTGAGGAGCGTGCTTTTGCCGTTGAGGCCTACTTTTCGAGTGTATTTGGAGTGGCCGGCCTGCTCTCCAGATTTGGCCCCTTGTGATTTTTTTCTATGGTTTTTTTTTTTTAAAAATCCTGTGTTTATGTGAACCGTCCAAGGAGCCTACAAGATTTGAAGGCCAACATCCAGGAAGAAATTGCCAACATAACGCCTGCTATACTGGCAAGAATCATGACAAATGCCAGAAATCAGTTTACTCAGTGTATGGCGAATGGGGGACATCACCTACCTAATTTGATCTTTAAAACTACATAAAACAAAACTTTAGGTATGTGCCTACATTATAATGTTTTTTTAAAATTCTGATTAATACAATGCATTTTATTAAGTTTTGAAAAAAAGGAAGTTATGCTGCCTC